TGTTACTCTTTGGAGGTTCGTGTTCCCGTTTTTTACATATCTTACATTCTTTGTCTGCTTCCTTAGGTTTAACGGTTGTCGCATCGACAAGTTCTGGTATCTCTTCAAAATTATTGACATTGATACCGTCATCGATGAAATCTGATGGTGCATGCGATAAAAAGTCGGAGGGATGATGATGGTGGTGGGGTGGCGATGACTGTGATGGTGTGGTGTCTGTTGAAGGATAGTTAATTTGGTTTTGAGCTTGCACATCACCTGCTTCCGGTTGTGTTCGACATTGTTCACTATGACCTTTATATGCGTAAATTCCAACAATTAAACCGACTACGAGACCGATGACAAACACACCTAGAATAAAGAGTTGCATGAGAATGATGGTTTTTATGGAGACAGGTTTTTTGGGTTCCTTCTCTAGTTTGAATGTGTAAAAGTCCTTGCTGGCTTCCGGCCCGCCATTGGTGGTTGCGCTCTGAGGATTGTCCATGTCTAAATCACGGGTCTTCACCTGAAATTAACCCGATTTATCAATTAAAATTGTAAAAGTGCGGGGCTTATTAAGTTCTATCGGTGTTTTAAGACTGATAAACATAAATATGTGCCTAGTTTTAAAATAAGTGGTCGTTACATGGTAAATGTTTCCGTATCGTGACAGGCATGGTCCCATCAGACCATTACGTCAGATAGATTACGTAGGCTGGAATTCGTGACTTGTTAAAAAACACAAATACACATATCACTAAATTTGAAAACAGTAGTATACTAGCCAATATATACATGCAGTGGTAATGTCTTGATGAAGTGCACGATTGAACGTATAAAGCGCGTCATCAATCTGCCCTAGGCTGTCGAATATGGGGAAGGATTAATGCATCTAATCTAGTGTTGTGGTTTAAAGAGTGTGAATAGTTATCACCTTTTAAATGTGCTAGAGATTCGGATGGTTTGAGGGTGGGGTTGCTATTTTGTACAAACATTGAAAAAGATTTTAGGTGTCGTGTGAGCCTTTCTGTTTGTTCATTTTACCATCAATCGTCAATTGACACTTACTACAGGAGGAGGAGAATATAGCAAGCCAACTAATGTTTATTTTATTGGCAATGTCGATCATGTATTTCTTTAAATTATAAAAGATATATATCATATAGCATGTAAGATATCTTATTTAATTTAAAGAATATTAGATACAATTTAAAGAAATACAAGATCGACATTGCTTTTTGAATAACTGTTAAATCGGCTTGCCCATAGGAGATGCTATCGGCACATTTGTTGTCTCACCATGTACGTTATATACGTGACAATATCATCATATATAACATAGGTGCAATGTGATCACTGTAGGTGTGTGGTTACCATCTATTACACAATTGATGTACGTGTTTGAAGACAAAACATCATTATATGAAACAGTCCAGAGAATGTGTGCCGCAGTTACATGTCCAATACGCGGGAGTCTCCAATGTCACATATCAGCGGACAGTGTCGATGACGTTAATGGTAAAAAACAGATAAAATAATCCTATAAACGTCTTATCGAACGGTTTTTTGTCATTGCTGAACGCATGGTCAGTGACACTATTACGAGGGAAAGGTCTTTGTGTTTCAGAAATACCATTTCGCTCCGCAGTGTGACGTACAGACAGTCTGTCCGATCTTCCGGACAGTCAACTCGTCTTATTAGCCCGGATGAACTGTCCTACATGTCCTATTAGCCCGGGCAAACAGTCCTTCTCGTTCTTATTTGTCCAAGGAACGATATTTTGTATAAGTTTCCTATTATTACGATTATATTTACTTCTATCTTGAATTATTAACCGTCTGTTCACTTGCGGGGTATATAAAACGTCTGTACCGAATTTAAAAGTTGTTAGAAGGATATATTATCAACCATACAGTAACGAAGTGTATCGATAATACACGTGAAATGTCACTGGCCTATTACTATAAAAGTTGAACCTGTAATTAAGTTTTGAACAATTACATATTGTTTGGTATCTTCGAAAATTGTTGTAAAGTAGCCGCATTAAAATGCTCTAAGGCATAAATCAATATAAATCGGATAACATTTGACTTACCGAGCGGTAACCGGCCACTGCTGTACAAGGTCCCAACCTCGTCTCAGTCAGACAGGTAGTGTACAAGGCCTACAGGTAGATGATGGAGGGCGGGGGGAGGAGCTCTTAACCTATAGATCATGAGTGATGGCACGCCAGGTGATCAGGCTAATTGAGTCGATGAATAAACAGGTAAACTGGAACAATACACACGTGGAAATGTGACTGATGTTCAGTACCATACTCACCCTCTTCATTAATTTTATGATGAGATTGTCAGTAAAAAACTTTGAAAAAAGACAATGTCATGTTACTTCCTTGTTATGACTGAGATGTCATTCATTATATACAAAGGAATGATATATCCAGGAATGACTGGTGAAATCAACTGATAAGACAAGATGGATTGGAATGGATGTCATGGTCTTTGCTTTTTGTTTTTATGTCAAATATCACATGTACTATATATATAATTAACAAAGTTTGAGTAAAATGTAACGGAACCAACCAAGTTTCGAAACTTATATTCTTGTTGTCTTTGTTAAATCTATAATGAAATATGAGTAAATAAATAATAAACTATTCCTGGACCACATAAGGGTGAACACGTCATACTATAGGTGCCGTAGTGGTGTGATACACGCTCTGTATACACGTCATACTATAGGTGCCGTAGTGGTGTGATAACGCTCTGTATACACGTCATACTATAGGTGCCGTAGTGGTGTGATACACGCTCTGTATACACGTCATACTATAGGTGCCGTAGTGGTGTGATACACGCTCTGTATACACGTCATACTATAGGTGCCGTAGTGGTGTGATACACGCTCTGTATACACGTCATACTATAGGTGCCGTAGTGGTGTGATACACGCTCTGTATACACGTCATACTATAGGTGCCGTAGTGGTGTGATACACGCTCTGTATACACGTCATACTATAGGTGCCGTAGTGGTGTGATACACGCTCTGTATACACGTCATACTATAGGTGCCGTAGTGGTGTGATACACGCTCTGTATACACGTCATACTATAGGTGCCGTAGTGGTGTGATACACGCTCTGTATACACGTCATACTATAGGTGCCGTAGTGGTGTGATACACGCTCTGTATACACGTCATACTATAGGTGCCGTAGTGGTGTGATACACGCTCTGTATACACGTCATACTATAGGTGCCGTAGTGGTGTGATACACGCTCTGTATACACGTCATACTATAGGTGCCGTAGTGGTGTGATACACGCTCTGTATACACGTCATACTATAGGTGCCGTAGTGGTGTGATACACGCTCTGTATACACGTCATACTATAGGTGCCGTAGTGGTGTGATACACGCTCTGTATACACGTCATACTATAGGTGCCGTAGTGGTGTGATACACGCTCTGTATACACGTCATACTATAGGTGCCGTAGTGGTGTGATACACGCTCTGTATACACGTCATACTATAGGTGCCGTAGTGGTGTGATACACGCTCTGTATACACGTCATACTATAGGTGCCGTAGTGGTGTGATACACGCTCTGTATACACGTCATACTATAGGTGCCGTAGTGGTGTGATACACGCTCTGTATACACGTCATACTATAGGTGCCGTAGTGGTGTGATACACGCTCTGTATACACGTCATACTATAGGTGCCGTAGTGGTGTGATACACGCTCTGTATACACGTCATACTATAGGTGCCGTAGTGGTGTGATACACGCTCTGTATACACGTCATACTATAGGTGCCGTAGTGGTGTGATACACGCTCTGTATACACGTCATACTATAGGTGCCGTAGTGGTGTGATACACGCTCTGTATACACGTCATACTATAGGTGCCGTAGTGGTGTGATACACGCTCTGTATACACGTCATACTATAGGTGCCGTAGTGGTGTGATACACGCTCTGTATACACGTCATACTATAGGTGCCGTAGTGGTGTTATACACGCTCTGTATACGCATCATACTATAGGTGCCGTAGTGGTGTGTTACACGCTCTGTATACACGTCATACTATAGGTGCCGCAGTGGTGTTATACACGCTCTGTATACGCATCATACTATAGGTGCCGTAGTGGTGTGTTACACGCTCTGTATACACGTCATACTATAGGTTCCGTAGGGATGTGATACACGCTCTGTATACACGGGAGATACTAGACTTTGATCTCTAATAGTGTGTAGTGTATTGTATGTTATTAATTTATCGAGCCGACAACAGATGATTACTTATGGTCAGACTAGTTCAGTGTGAGTAAAGAGGACGCCATAGTATGATGAAGCACATTGGACTTGTCTGTTACAGATATAATGTGATGTATCATTTCCACTGCTCGTTAAAATACGCTTTAAATATCACTGTCTAAAAAGTAGACCCTCCCACCGTATAAGTCCGAATCACAAACAGGATCCTAGGATTCTGTGTTATTTCACATGTAATTCCTCAATTAAAGATTCGTCTTCCACAGTATATCGAAAATATTTCACTACTGGGAAGATAAAAAAACCCTGCAATACTTTATTCCAATATTAAACAAGTTCTGCACTCAATATCAATACTGATATAAAATTCAAAAGTTATGTGACCGAATAAGGGACATAAGTTTAACACTTCATGATCTTGTGGTCGAATATATTAACTTTAGAATCCCAGTACCACTGCCGAAATCTGTAACTGTTCATTGGACAACTTTTTGTTGAATGACTATGGCTTTAATAAATATTTCAGAACAGAGATTTGTTTTGTATTAACCTTTACTTATTGCATTGTAAATACTGTTATTTGTATCAATTTTACGCGTCAATATACAGGTATTTACGTTACAAACCTTGAAGTAGACATGTCCGGTAACTACGAAAATAAATCTCAATGCTCTCTGACACAGCCTACGACCCAAGAAGACGAAGCTGATTTTCCCTTAAAGCATTATTCGAGCTTTTGTTCAGATGTTTTAAAATAAATACCAATAAGAAGGGCATGGTCAACCAGAAACCAGGAAGAGCACGTCCTTAAGTAGTATGTTCTATACACCATTCCCTTCAAATCGAGAAACCCCATAATTCCTTCCACTCGCTATCCCCCATCACATCCCCTTTCCTCCCCTCTACAAAATAGATACCCCCTAATTTCCTCCACTCGCAAACCCCGCCCATAAACACGATTAATACCCCTAATTCCCTCCACTCGTTATTCGATAAACCCGACTCCACTCCACTCCAATAACCCGTTCGGTAACCCCCCACCCCCCCACCCCCCCTTTCCTCGCCATTCTATCAATCCCCCTTCTTCTCCTCTTACCCCTTACTCCATGCTACATTTTCCTTTCCCCATTTGATGAATCCCTCTTTCCCGCTTCTTGCTAAAATAACCCTTCCTCCTCAACTCTATAATTAAATAGATGATCTTTACAATAAGACATGTGGTCTATAAGTAAATAAATGGTCTTTACAATAAGAGGGCTGGTCTATACAGTAAATAAATGATCTTTACAATAAGACATGTGGTCTATAAGTAAATAAATGGTCTTTACAATAAGACGGCTGGTCTATACAGTAAATAAATGATCTTTACAATAAGACATGTGGTCTATAAGTAAATAACTGGTCTTTACAACAAGACGGCTGGTCTATACAGTAAATAAATGATCTTTACAATAAGACATGTGGTCTATAAGTAAATAAATGGTCGTTACATTAAACAGGTGGTCTATACAGTAGATAAATGGTCTTTACATTAAGACAGGTGGTCTATACAGTAAATAAATGGTCGTTATATTAAGACAGGTGGTCTATACAGTAAAAAGATCACCTTTACATTAAGACAGGTGGTCTATACAGTAAATAAAGGGTCGTTACATTAAGACAGGTGGTCTATACAGTAAATAAATGTTTTTTACAATGAGACACGTGGTCTATATAGTGGATAAATGGTCTTTACATTAAGACAGGTGGTCTATATAGTAGATAAATGGTCTTTACATTAAGACAGGTGGTCTAATTAGTAAAAAGATCATCTTTGCATTAAGACAGGTGGTCTATAAGAAAATAAATGGTCTTTACATTAAGACATGTGGTTTTTAAGTAAATAAATGGTCTATACAATAAGACAGGTGGTCTATACAGTAAAAAGATCACCTTTACAATAATGCGGGTCTTCTATACAGTAAATAAATGATCTTTACAATAATACAGATGTTCTATACAGTAAATAAATGATCTTTACAATAAGACAGGTGGTCTACTATACAGTATATACTTGGTCTTTACAATAAGACAGGTTGACTATAAGTAAATAAATGGTCTTTACAATAAGACGGCTGGTCTATACAGTAAACAAATTATCTTTACAATAAGACAGGTGGTCTACTATACAATATATACTTGGTCTTTCCAATAAGACGGCTGGTCTATACAGTAAATAAATGATCTTTACAATAAGACATATGGTCTATAAGTAAAGAAATGGTCTTTACAATAAGACATGTGGTCTATAAGTAAAAAACTGGTCTTTACAATAAGACGGCTGGTCTATACAGTAAATAAATTATCTTTACAATAAGACATATGGTCTATAAGTAAAAAAAATGGTCTTTACAATAAGACGGCTGGTCTATAAGTAAATAAATGATCTTTACAATAAGACATATGGTCTATAAGTAAAAAAAATGGTCTTTACAATCAGACGGCTGGTCTATAAGTAAATAAATGACCTTTACAATAAGACGGCTGGTCTATAAGTAAATAAATGATCTTTATAATAAGACATGTGGTCTATAAGTTAATAACTGGTCTTTACAACAAGACGGCTGGTCTATACAGTATATAACTGGTCTTTACAATAAGACGGCTGGTCTATACAGTAAACAAATTATCTTTACAATAAGACATATGGTCTATAAGTAAAAAAAAAAGGTCTTTACAACAAGACATGTGGTCTATAAGTAAATAAATGATCTTTACAATAAGACGGCTGGTCTATACAGTAAATAAATGATCTTTACAGTAAGACATGTAGTCTATTAGTAAATAAATGGTCTTTACAATAAGACATGTGGTCTATAAGTAAATAACTGGTCTTTGCAATAAGACATGTGGTCTATAAGTAAATAAATGGTCTTTACAACAAGACGGCTGGTCTATACAGTAAATAAATGGTCTTTACAATAAGACGGCTGGTCTATACAGTAAATAAAGTATCTTTACAATAAGACGGCTGGTCTATACAGTAAATAAAGGATCTTTACAATAAGACGGCTGGTATATACAGTAAATAAAGGATCTTTACAATAAGACGACTGGTCTATACAGTAAATAAAGGATCTTAACAATAAGACGGCTGGTCTTTACAGTAAATAAATGATCTTTACAATAAGACGGCTGGTCTATACAGTAAATAAATGGTCTTTACAATAAGACAGGTGGCCTTTACATTAAAATATGTACTGTACCAACCATAAGACAGGTAGCCTTTACATTAATACATGTTTTTTACAATAAGACAAATGCCATACCACTTTGTAGTCAGAATCATAATCGTAGTTTACCTAGACGATATGTTTATTTGGATATTTTTTCGTGAAAATATGTCGATAAATGACATGTATATACTGAACATAACTTCAACATTATCCATTATAGGCACTGGATCCGAAGATACGAATATCTGTTGAATGTGTATTAGGAATAGGTCACCCGGCCTCCCTTCAATATGCAAGCATTAAATTAGAGGCGAGACAAAAATCAATATAATCACATTTAGGTACTTTAACAATAGTGTTAAATGATAGAAGCCTATCGACAAAACCTTCTCCGACTGGTATACATTAGGACTTTTACATATATCAGCAGGGCTCATTGATTTATATAAATCATAATTTTAAAAACATACGTGGGACTTCAATTCTAGTAAGGCTAACAAATAAAGAACTTGCGTGGGGTTGTTGTCTGCAGATTACACGTTTTCACCGGCTGAGATGTTGAAATGTGTTCATTTTTGCTAATTATAGTATTGAGTTGTATTAATTAAGTTTCCATGAAACTAAAATGCAACCGATTCGAGTGCTTTAACAAATTCAGGCATGAACATATTGTTTCATGAATCAGGGGATATAACAGGAATGTGTAAATCTGCGTTTCGTTTCTTTATCTCTGAAAGTTCGTAATATTTATGCACTCAATTGACGTATTCAGCACTTGATAAAATTGATATTTTTTTACATTTAAAATAAGATTTTAATGTATAGGAACAGTTTTTGTAGAACATGATATAACTGTAACATTAATATTTTTCTTGGCTCTTATTTCTATTTTTAATTTATTTCTGTTAAATTAAATATATTTGCTGCGGTCTTGATGTATCTTGGCAACGTGACTCGTAAATATTTGGCCATTGATCGGAACCAACAAGGTAAATTTGTCCTACCAACGGATTCTTTGATGTAATGTTATTGTGTTTTAGGGGTTGGTTGGATTCTAAACAGCCTATTGGTATTCCTTATGTCTGACGTGGAGTATATTTGTGACGCATTATAATTGTTACGGTTTAATTTTCTTCTTCTGCAGTCGCAGCAGTGTTGTGAGCCAAAAGTGACAGTTGGACTGGCAGGTTAATTTCCAAAAATGGCAACTTTGCTTCCCCAGAAACCCCAAGCACAGGGAACTTATACCTTTGCAAGTCAACCCAGGGCAGTACAGCAGAGGAAAAAATATAGAGATGCGGGAGAAATAGGTGGAGATTTAGGAGTAGGGTACGTACAAATTTGAATATAATATTGGTGATGACAACACACGAGGGACGCCTGTTTATCTGTTTATGTTAACTACATGCATACAAACAATGTCACACTTCAAAGGATACTGTTGTTTAAGCTTAAAAATATATCTTTTAGTATTCATACATTTAATGAATTTATAATTATGTTACAGTAGTAAATGTTTAATGTATTTAGTTTTAAATGGATGTCACTATAATGACCATTGCTATAATAACTAATATGGCTAATTTTGATTGATGTAGCTATAGCCTGTTGTCAATTATTATAAAAATCACTTAAATGTGACATATTATTTCTCAATTATATGTGATCTTGGCTGACAAAGTAGCTTTTTAATTCAGTTACTTTATTTATTGCAGATTTATAGCTGCATTGCATTTACATTGTGAAAAAACCCACATTGCTTTCTAAATATGAATGCCATTCTTAAATTGTTTCAAAGTGAAAAAATCTTCACATGAACATTGGATGGTGTTGAAGTATTTCTAAGGTTTTTAGAAGTTTTTAAAAGATTACCAAATTGTGCTGGATTAGTTGAAAGACAATAAATTATTTGTGGATTAAAACAAAGTGCTGTTTTCTTCTTCGGTGCTATAACATCCTCGGTTTAAAGGTCTATTATTTTCAATGTAATTGTGTCACGTTGCTGTCTCTGTTTTAATCCACTGTTGTGAATAAGTTTTCCAGTCTGTCAGTGTTCTTTTGACAATAGAGGAGATGTACCATAATTTAGATAGAATTTGTGTTTTAATGTTGATAATTTAAAATTTAAATGGTAATTGGGCAATGACTTCATTAATAATAATCATTCTGTTTAATTACAGGACCCAAGGCCCCCCTCAATATGGAAACATTATGTACGATAAGAGAATTGTCCGTGGAAATACATATGCACAACACACACTGCCTGCGGTAAGTGAAAGTTACTTCTTGACAGAGTTTCTGTTTTTCTTTTTGAGAAGTATTGAAACTTTAAAGACGACAAAACTATTTTTTATCTATAGATTAAGTGTAAACATGTATGCAATTTGTTAAGTAAGTATACTCTTCAATTTGCTCCTGTCAATCTATAGTGCCTGTCTTTGCTTATTTCAAGTGTGTCTTAATTTATGATTTATTTATATATTGTGTATCATTTTTCAATTATGTTTTCAGCATGCACAACCAGATCCAATTGAAATTCAGAGACAACAAGAAAATAGACGTCGTGCAATAGCTAGAAAGCGGGCAAAAGAACAACTACGCCCTCGATCCCCAGAGCCTGTAGAAGGTCGTAAACACATAGATGTACAGACAGAATTGTACCTGGAGGAACTGAGCGACCGTGTGGAGGAGGCTGATGTAGAAGTACAAACTGATGCCTTCCTTGACCGCCCACCATCACCCATGTTTGTACCAGCTAAGACAGGATTGGACATGGCCACACAGATACTGGACGGAGAGGTAAGCATATCACTTGGATAATTTACCAAATAAAAAGGTGATAGTTTAAAGGTTGAAATTAAAACAATATAACATACTTTCTCTTTAGAAAAAAAGTGTATTGATTTATTGTGGATTTATCAAATGAAAGTTATTTTTGCAATAAGAAAGGACTGTAATAGCCACTCTCCTTTTATTGAACTTTCAAAATTAGGATTCTTTCACAAATAGTCACAAAGTTGAGAATGTGCAGGAGAGTCACTGAGCTGTGTTTATTTCTCTACAGCTGTTTGACTTTGATGTGGAAGTGAAGCCAATCCTAGAGGTGTTAGTGGGTAAGACTGTAGAACAAGCATTACTAGAGGTGATGGAGGAGGAGGAGCTAGCCAATCTCCGCTCACAACAACGCGCCTTTGAAGAGTTGAGAAATGCTGAACTTGTGGAACAACAGAGATTGGAGGAACAAGAGCGACGACACAGGGAGGAAAAGGTATATTATTTTTCCGCGTTTCAGAGAATAGCGGGAAAATTTGTCATGTATACACAGAGTATACCGGTATGTGGGCAGTTGCCTGTCTCTTGCAGAGGTTTCGGCCAATCTGATTGAGGCACATACTAAGGGTAGTTTACGGGTACGTGTATGTTCATTCTAGCTTCGCACCTTGCACAGCGCAGTACAATTTGAAATAAAATTATAGCAGAATTTTATGTTTATGTAACAGATGTATGTGTGGGCATCGTCATTTGTTTGAAATTCCAGCATCAATTTTGTAAAAAAATCTTAAGCATTGTCGGGCTGGTACACCTCCTGTCGCGTCTAATAATATTAAGGTTTTCAGGTTGGGTGGCGCGCTTGGTTTTACATTTGTATGGCGATGAACCATGCGAGGATATATGTGGGAGGATTGTTTGTGTGTACGGTAAATGAAGTCCGAGTAGTTTTCGTAAATGCATATTTATTATATTCATATTATATTTATGAATAAATGCCGACTTTGTCCGTGCTATCTATCAAGCAGCTCTTTGCTAAGTAGGTGTTGTGTTATATTTGCCTTAGTACATATAAGGCGTGTATAGAGGACAGAGTTTAGAACAAAATCACAAAAACTGTTTGAATTACCTCCCTTACATAACATTTTGTTTAATTTCACATTTTTATGCTGATGCATGCAGTTGTAAGATTTGATATGTTCATTGTTTTTTTGAAATGCAAATATTTTGTTTATTTTTTGATCACAGGAAAGGCGTATGAAACAACAGAGAGAGATTTTGAAAAAGGAACACGAAACTTCAGAAAAAATTGCTGCCAGAGCATTTGCTCAAAGCTACCTCGCCGATTTGGTGCCAACAGTGTTTGGAACATTATCAGACAATGGTTACTTCTATGATCCTGTAGAGAGAGGTAGGTCTCTGTCAAAACACTCTTACACTGGGTTGTGGTATTCTGCAACATTATCTGGACTTTTATGGTCCAAATAAATTTATAGACAAGTAGTTCAATTGTACTTAAGAATGTACACCTCTGAGAAGTCAAAAAATTCCTGTATTAAACTTTTTTTCTTATATGGATTTTTGGAAAAAGGAGTTTATGGCATAGTAGAAAATGCAAAAAAAAATACATGTCTGTGTATTCGTTTTTTTAATGCTATGATCGGTCAAAGATGCCAATTTAACACAACATGTGATTTTAGGTGATTTTTGGGGTTTTTACCATTTGCAGAACAAATTCATACAATTTCTCCAAGTGTGTTATCAGATATGTATGAATGTTTGTAGAATTGATGAAAATATTATTTTCTTTTATATTATGGAAGTAAAATTTCTTAATCTTCTTTTTTTTACTCCGAAAGCCGAATTTGGTTACCCCTACCCCCTATTTTTTAATGAAAAAATACTCTCTTTTTTTTTACCTGTTTTGCAGATTAAACGCTTGATATAAAAAGTTCTGCAAATAAACTTTTTTTAATATTTAATGAATTAAAAAAAAAAGGGTGTTTCTCTTTCTAAAACATCCACAAAAATGGGGGTTCCGTGTGCTTCTTTTTTTGTCCCATTATCATTTGTGTTATTTTTTTACCTTTTTCGAGGTTTAAAATCAAAGTGCTTCAGTTACACTAAATATGTAAAAAAAATATCAATAATGTGTAATTTTCCAGTTTGTTGCATATAATTTTTATAATATTAAACATTATAAAGTTGTACAACAAAATTAAACCTGCTACAATTAAATGGCGACACAATGACAACTTAAGTGATCAATCTAGTGTCAAAAAAGGTGAAATTTTTGCCTTTTTTGGAGTGCAAGAATTACACATTAATACACATTTTCAAAATGGCCGCCAAATTGGTAATTTTTTTAAATTCTTGTAAAAAAAGTTCTACAAACAACAGGTATCTATTTTTTTGACATATTTTTCAGATGCGTGTTTGCTAATAAACTTGATAATAATTTATTAAGTATTACAAAAACCCAATACACCAGATCAAAACAAGACTTGAACGTGATTGAAATTTCAGAAGAGTACATCCTTAAGATAAAGATTATGAATTTTAAAGAATCTTCGCATAAACATCAAAATCTTTACCCAGTGTAAAATTGATGTAGTGAAATAATTAAAACTGTCAGTTTATGCAGACAATGTGTACCTGTCTGCCTTGCGTTTACATATGTTTACTGATAGCATTTCTATCTCTCCAGACATTGAACAAGGATTTATGCCATGGTTGATGGACCAAGTTAAGGAACAATTACACAAGGCCCAACTCGGCAGAATGGTGCTAGATGGAATCCTACGGGAGGTGGTCAGCAAGCGTTTTGATCAATATGCCAAGTTAGATGAGAAATTGAGGGAAATGTTGGGAGACACATTAGAGATGGACAAAGGTGGCAACAGCTCAAACAATGCCCCAGAGGAGGTACCAGCGCCAGCTGCAGCCACCACCACAGAGGTAGGTCACAGAGAGTAACTCATAGTACTACTGTATACTACCCTCTCCCATCAACAACAACCGACACAATTTTTTTTAAATCACAGCGTAATAAACTCTGAATTAATATAAATACTGAACCTCCCCTACCACCATCTCCGCCACCCTACTACTGTATTTTATAATTGAGTACCTCTTGGGTTGGTGAAGTGTCATGTACTAAAAATGAACCTTTTGTCCCAGTATATATAGTTTTGACTTATACTTAACATGAATCATATTGTCAAGGGAATAAATATCTTATGCATTACAAATAGATGTCAGGTTTATCTGGCATCAATTAGTGGAGGCAGTTGTGAGATCTGTATGGCATCATTAATTGGAGGTACTTATCAGATCTATATGGCATCATTAATTGGAGGTACTTATCAGATCTATCTGGCATCATTAATTGGAGGTACTTATCAGATCTGTCTGGCATCATTAATTGGAGGTACTTATCAGATCTATATGGCATCATTAATTGGAGGTACTTATCAGATCTGTCTAGCATCATTACCTGGATGTGGTTATGAGATCTATCTGGCATCATAAACTTATGTTGTTATCAGATCTATCTGGCATCATTGTCTGGATGTAGTTATGAAATCTATCTGGCATCATTACCTGGATGTAGTTATCAGATCTTTCTGGCATCATTAACTGGATGTAGTTAATAGGTTTGTCTGGCATCATTAACTTGAGATTGTTGTCGGTTTATCAGGCAACAGTAACTATTAATAGTAAAATATACAAAATTTAATCTGAAAGTTAATTTTTTGATTTAATTGTAAACAATTGTCGAGTTTTATTGAAAATATTCCAATCTGAAATAATTTATTATTGTTCAACTGACATGGTTATTTACCAATAACATAGTTCTAAAAATATGATTTAATAATACTGTCAATATAGTAAAGTAGTGTTTCAATAAGTTTAAAACACAAGTGTTAAAATTCAGACGATAATATTTGCTGTTCTTTTTCAAGTATTCAACAAAATTTTATTACTGACACATTTTCTTTTTGGTCAATAGATTGAAAACAACCGTCAATATTTCTTACTTTTCAAACTTGAGAGGACAAAAGTGCAATTATAGAGGTTGATTAGGGACTGGCTTTTTATCTGCTGTTGTCGTAATTCAAATCACCACAAGGGATAATTGAAGAACCCCTAGTCCATACTTCTGTCATATGAAAATTAAAACATTATATGTGTGTGAATAAATTTCCCTGCAACTCAAGAACATAGTTATCAAGTTATTACGGGTGCAGGGAGATTTGATAGCAGTAGAATAGGCTCCCCTGACCAGGCCTGTGTATTAGAGACCAGCGATCCCTGCAGGATAATATGACGGCGATGGTGCGCTTCAACAGCAAGTGTGAGTGATTATTCAGTACGGTGAGCTGCGTTTGTCAGCACCCGCTCCAAGAGAAACGCCTCGCTCTGCCAGATGAGAAATTCCCATGACTTGTCCCTCTGTTGGAAGGCAACAATACTCTCGGCACGCGGCTTCTTAATTTTGACAACATCATTCCTTGTGTTAAGCAGGTGACTCTTTTTCCGCCTGAATGAATCCAGACATTTATCATGACAGTGAGGGGCTCACTACAGGAAAACTCAAGTGGTTTATCAACAGGGCATTTAAATGTTGTGCAAATATATAATTGACAAGAATACACATGCTTTAGATTGAATGGTTGTAGAGAGTTATATAATTGATGATGAATGAATCTCTTTGAAGGAAATTCATCTGATGAATGTGGCAGGTCATACAGAAATAAAATACTTGAGCTAAAAAAAACTCTTGATAAAAATGCCCTTAATACCGTGCCTCAGTGATCACTTTCCCCGGGGTGCCACCTCTTTTTGTTGTAATGATCATTTTGTCTTTTCTATTTGACACAGTAGAATGGGTAACAATACATGGTGTGAAAACAGAACTGTTGTATAGGATGGAGGGAGGGTGTGGGGGAGGGGTGAGTGTGGGGCGGTGAGAGGGTGCGGACGGGCAGGCAACCCTAATTGGAGTATAACTAGTATTGGTTGTCCCTCTAAAACACCATGAATAGTAATAAGACATATTTCAGAAGACCACAGGCAGGAGTATCACACTGCTTATGTCTGAATGTAACCAGCTTTCATAAAACTACATTTGTTGTTTCTTGGAGGATATTTTGGATTATTGAGAAATGTACCTGCTTGTTCCTGAATCAAAAATTAAAAAGAAAAAAATCTGTTGGAGTTTAAATTCATGCTTTATTAATGATTTGTAGGCTAAAATTTGTCATTGTTTCAAAGAAATGATCTGTATTGATTGGATAAAGTGGAAAGTTGATGAAAACATTTGAAAGCTTAAACAAATTCTGAAGTAGTTAAAGTGTTACCACTGTATTACATTAGTTGCAGTTTTTTGATAAAACTTTCAGTAACAAACTGTTACCAGCTGGGGACAAAGTCTGAAGCTTGATGTGTGTTGATAGTCAGAGGTTTGACTCTCGGCATCTGGCAATTTCCATTAAACTCAAACCCATTTTCTTAAAATGATTGTATATAGAAAGTGTTGATTTCAGGAAAACCCTTGGTAGGATTATGGATTGTCTTTGTCAAAGAAGTTGTTATATGTATAATAGATTAAAAGTAGTCAGAGTGCTATCTTCCTGAAGTCACCTATGTTCCTTAGGTTGTGAATTTTGATGTGATGAGATGATCAAAAAGCTAGCAGTAACATAAAAATAAATCCAATGTTCTGGGAATATAGCCGTACTATAGTCACACCAGTGGCAGTTCCAGCAGAGGGCAGTGTTAAGTAGAAACAATATGTTCTTGTGGGGAAATATTAATTAAATCTATGAAAAATAATATTTTGTTTTGTTTTTCAGGCTGAGAAACCAGTGGAACCAGCCGAAGAGCCTGCTGAACAGAAAACAGATGAGAGTGGAGGGGGAGAGCAGCAGACAGAGGGGGGAGAAGGTGAAGAGGAGGACTCAGGGGAGCCCAAGGAATAAATACTAGTTAAAGAATAATTAAAATTTTATACATCTACCAACAGAAACATGGAAAAACCCAGTAAACTAACAAAGTGGTTCTTTTGTTTACAAACTATCGAACAACTCACATTGAAACCAAAAGGAGGGCGGTGAAGAAGGAGACCATTGCCAGACATTCTGTGATATTTATTGTCCTCTTGTTCAGATTCTAATTTTTCTAATTCTACAGAAAACATTTATGATTCAAGTTTTAAGTTGTTGCCTAAATCTTAAAGAAATAACATTATTTCAGGAACAGATATCTTATTTAACAAAGATTCTCGTCAAGTCAGTATTACTGAGTGCTAGCCGTTATACTTACTCAATACCAACCTCTGTCATGTTATAATTACCATCTCTCATACTCCACACAAAAATATGTCAAAATATTTATTGCAAATTTGATTTTTGTTGGTATTAAATAAAATTAAGTAAACACAGAGCATTGGGCTAAAAGTCGGGAAAGATATACTGTATTGGAAGTTCATATGCAAATTCTACACGAGTGCAAATGAAATTTGTTGAATGTTGATAAACTTCTACTGTGTGTGCTGGAGGAAGCTCCAGGACACGTGATAAGTATCAGTTATTTCTAGTTATTCTTATTTTGCCAATGTGTCTATAGTCATATAAAGTACTGTGATTCCGGACCTGTATCATAAACCAAGCTTTAGGTTAGCACCGAAATAACTGTAACATATGAATAGTCCGTCCTAGTAAGTCAGTGCTAACGTCAAGCTTGTCAGTTTTCTGGTATAGGATCCATTTGTAAATAAATAAAGCATTACAATTCATCCACAAATACATGAAGTGTAATCCCTGTTGACAGTGTACTAAGTAGCCTTATGGGTGAGGGAACTCCAGTGGTAAAACACAAAGAATCACTTGAAATTTTAAAACAATATTTTGGGAAAATGTCTGTATTCATAAAAACCATATTGGTGATGATTAAAAGTTGAACCCTAGAGAGTTCCAATCCTAGAGGCCCGCTCCTGTTACATTACTCGTGTTGTTAACCTATAATACTGTGCTCATACTTTAATCTACACTACATATAATAGTTCATTGTTTTAATAAATTATGGGCCCATATTGTTTTCAGTATTTGGGTTTCTTCATATTGCCTTTAGATCTATTTGAAAAAATACAACTTTATGGTGTAAATAAAATGTACCAACTATTTTCAAGAAAATGAATAAAGAAATACAGACATTGATTATGTTGTTTCTGTGATGGGTGCTGGCTTGTCCCTGTGTTGAACACTTGTATGTGATTACTGTTAACACAATATATATGGACTGAATATGATAATAATTATTTGGGACAGAATGTATCAGTAATTGATGTAATGTTTGAGGCTGACTTGATACATTATTAACCTGTTGTTGGAGATTGACTGTATACATTATTAACCTGTTGTTGGAGTCTGACTCCAAGTCAGCCTCCAACAACAGGTCAATAATGTATAGAGTCAGCCTCCAACAACAGGTTAATAATGTATAGGGTCAGACTCCAACAACAGGTCAATAATGTATAGAGTCAGACTCCAACAACAGATTAATAATGTATAAAGTCAGTCTCCAACAACAGGTTAATAATGTATAGGGTCAGCCTCCAACAACAGGTTAATAATGTATAGGGTCAGACTCCAACAACAGGTTAATAATGTATAGGGTCAGACTCCAACAACAGGTCAATAATGTATAGAGTCAGACTCCAACAACAGGTTAATAATGTATAGGGTCAGACTCCAACAACAGGTTAATAATGTATAGGGTCAGACTCCAACACCAGATTAATAATGTATAAAGTCAGTCTCCAACAACAGGTTAATAATGAATAGGGTCAGACTCCAACAACAGATTAATAATGTATAAAGTCAGAAAAGAATTTCTTCCTGGTTTTCATCTTGTATTTACACTAGTATGGTATGTAGTCGGTTTTAAATTGAAAATACAATAGCTGTTGAGCTATTCCTTCCCCCGGGCATCTAGTTTGAAATGTACAATTTCTTAGATGTTTGGATACATAGTAGTGTGACATGTATGTAGTGTTGTGTGTCATTCCATTACTAATCACTCCATAGTATTGTATGTGTCTTAAAACAAAAGGAAGCGGACACACTCTTATTGGCATTACCAGGTTTTTTTTGTTTTTTTTTATAAAACTGACATTAACTCGTTATTTTTTTTTAGTAGACTGATTATTTGCAATTAAATTGTATTTAAGCATGGAATTAGATCTAAGTCCGTGATTTAAGTTAAATCAATAACAAATTGATATGGTGTAGTTTTTTCCTGCACCCTGCTGTATCCTGTCCGATGAGCCTGTCACTCTCGCTCCGAATCATCTAATCCATACATTGACCCGTCCATTACTGGCTACAGGTGTCCACGTCGACGTTCGTAGCGGTCAATTTACCCCACCGGTCCGTTTGCGGGTTGGGTCACGTGCCGCGGTATTGACCACCAGTGACGATGTGTTCCGGCAATGTAACACCTGAGGAACACCTGATACCTTGTCAATACGGACCGTCAACACCTTTTAAAGACCAGGCTGTTCCGACTGTTGACACACCCCCTCCTCCCATTCACCAGCTATTTATTTTACAGCTGTTCTGTGTAGAAAGTAAATTGTCTAAATAATGACACAAACTTCTTCAAATATTTTGTTAGATTGAAAAATTCAATTATCCGACCGGTTTGAAGCGTCATAGAAACGATGGAACAATAACAGTTTTATTCTGTAATGAGAACTGTTATTGTATTTTACATTGCAGTACACTGAAATAGTTCTAAATTGAAAACATTTTGTGCGTTTTGTTACCTTGTGTACAATCCTTTTGCTTTATTTCTGGCAATAGATATTTAAACTCATATCAACAATTCTCCGCCATACATTTCTTACTTTTAATAACATGTGTCATTCCATATACCTTGGTAAGATTATGTACCCTGTGCATAAATATAACTTAGGTATCGTTTTAGCTCACCTGGCCTGAAGGGCAAAGTAAAAGCTTATGCCGTGCCGCGACGTCCGTCGTCCGTCCGTCAGGCGCCAACTTTTTTCTTAAAACGACTTTTTCTCGATAACAAATAGGCTTTGGGTGATGATATTAGGCCGTAGCATGTAGGGGTGAAGGGCTGCAAAATTAGTTCAGATGAATGACATTGGCCCACTTTCAAGGTCACTAGGGTCAAATATGGTAAAATGTTTAAACGACTTTTCAATAACTAAAAGGCCCAGGGTGATGCTGTTTGACTAATGGCATGCATGGATGAAGGACTACCAAGTATGTTTAAATGAATCACACTGACTCACTCTCAGTGAAATGTGTGAATTTATAAATTTATTTCTAAATAGCCGTAAGGCAAAAGGTCGTTCTATTTGGCTAATAGCATGGAGGGGTAAAGGGCTACCAAAGTTTAAAAAATATTTGAAACAATTTCATATTAAAAACCAAAAGGCATAGGGTGGTTATATTTGGCCTATAACTTAATTCAGACAATTTTAATATATTTTTCCTTAATACACTTTTAAGGTTACTGGCGTGAAATTAATATCAGGTGAGCGATGCAGGCCCATTGGATCTCTTGTATTACTAATTTATTACACGATCCCTGTGTTATGTTTGTACTAAAGCCAATTATACAATGGTTACAAAAAATGGGTATGTACAATGTAGCCTCTGTTATTATATGGACTACAGTAAAAGTATCCTAATAGCACAGACCAACCTCCTTATATCGACATTGTCTACGTGTTGGCAGCTGTTCTTCAAACGTAAAATAACGGTTTAGACGAAGTATACTTGGTGCAATTAAATTACATCCGTGAGTGTTCCATACTGAATACCTGAAAGCATTGGTCTACAACTATCGTTACAAAGGGACAATTCTTAAACTGGTTGAGGCCCACCATGAATGAGTGGGGATTGGGTAGTGGAGGGTTGTGGATAGTGGGGATTGGGTAGTGGAGGATTGTGGTAGTGGGGATTGGGTACATAGTTTGTTTGTCATGGTCCTTTTTCAACAACTAAAATATTGACACTTTAGGTAGTATGACACTCCACCCAGTCTCTGAAATGTCATAACCTGGACACGGTAGTACGATACAATAACCGGTCACTGAGATGTCATAACCTGGACACGGTAGTACGATACAACACCCGGTCACTAAATTGTCATAACCTTGACCCGGTAGTACGATGCAACACCCGGTCACTGAAGTGTCATAACCTGGACACGGTAGTACGATACAATAAGCGGTCACTGAGATGTCATAACCTGGACACGGCAGTACGATACAACAACCGGTCACTGAAATGTCATAACCTGGACACGGTAGTACGACACAACACCCGGTCACTAAATTGTCTTAACCTGGACACGGTAGTACGATGCAACACCCGGTCACTGAGATATCATAACCTGGACACGGTAGAACGATACAACACCCTGTCACTGAAATGTCATAACCTGCAAAAGGTAGCATGACACTCCACCCGGTCACTGAATATAACATTCTGGACACGGTTGTATGACACTCCAACCGGTCACTGAAATGTCATTACCTGGACACGGTAGTACGACACAACACCCTGCCACTGAAATGTCATTACCTGGACACGGTAGTACGACACAACACCCTGTCACTGAAATGTCATAACCCGGACACGGTAGTATGACACTCTACCCGGTCACTGAGATGTCATAACCTGGACACGGTAGTATGACACTCCACCCAGTCACATTATTCTGACAACAGGCTATAGCATGAGAAGTCACCGAAAATAAAGAGTAAGAAAGATGTCCCAAGTACGGCCGTGGGGGCAGCAACACTAGTTTGAATTTTCCACTGAGGAGGAGAAATTTTACAAAAAAAAACCGATCCTGCATATAGACCCAAGATTAGTCGCCTCGTACGATCAATCAGTTCCATTATTTCCCCGAACCTGTGCAGGTTGTACTGCACCGGTTTTGAAAGAGTGAGAATTGGGTTGAGGTTGATTAACGATAGTAAGGATCTTGAATAGGTTACGGTAGGAATGGGGAAGGGCTGTACCGGTTTATGATGATTCGGCAGTACCGAACACGAATGGTTAGAGTTACAGTTCTGTGCGTGTAAATCGAGACAAGATAACGATAAGCGAAAGTGTCCATAGGCAGTTGACTGCAACATAACTTACCGACAGTTCAAACACATCGCGAAAAATTACAAACAAGGTGGTAAGAGTCGCTATATAATGTCA